GAGGAAGGGAGATCACTCCGTGGCTCTGTCATCGAGATAGAGGTTTCGTCACGGTAAGGAGGTAGGGATATTTGAATCTTTTGTTTTTGGGCTACAAAGATGGGTGTAGGTATTGTATATGCATACTAAAGTTATGGTAATTATTACTGAAATGAAAAGGGGACATTGGAAAGCTTACCACATACTCAGAGCTAGTAGGATGTTTACAACTTAATCAGGGACTGTGGGCGGTTTGCTATATAATCAGGGAAAGTGGAATGCTTACCACATAATGGGGAAAGTGGAAAGCTTACCACATAAGCAGGGTAAGTAAGATGTTAACAACATAATTCGGAACTGTGGGCGGTTTATTATATAATCAGGGATAGTGACATAATCAGGGGCAGTGGAATGCTTTCTATATGTTCAGGGACAGCAGGATGCTAATAACATAAACTGGTGCCGCAGGGTGCTTACCAGATAATCAGGGAAAGCAGCATGCTCACCAAATAATCAATAATATCAAGGTACATACCACCAACATTACTGTTCTCCAGACAATATCACAGTTAACCTGGCGTCCGATATCAAAACAATCACTCCTGCAGGACTATTTCTCTTTGTTATGGGTAGTTGGTGTAAATCTTCAGACATGCAGGCTTTCACAACTTTTAGGCCCTCTTAAAAATTAATCAACTCTATTCTGACAATTAAATCTTATGAGCACCAAGGGACTGTAGCCTCCCGAGACGTTAACTCGTACCCAAATATATTACACAGCACAAAAGACATATAAGCCTCAGTTTCGTAAAGGCCTTTGCAATAAAAAAAAATGTATCCTCTTTCTATCTGCTATGTAGCTTAATTGCAATTTAATGTGTTTCATTCCTAACGTACTGGCTCCTATGTCAGAATGCTGTTTTCATTACTTTGTATGAAAACTACACAACAAACTATATGATTTATTAAGAAAAATATATCTATCTGTAGGTCGAGCAACCAAAGCACTGAGATATATTTTATCAGGATCAGTTTACCAAGATTACCATCACAACATCATATGATGACAGCAAGTTAATATCGAGGGTAAAAAACGAAGATTGATTTTTTTGTCAGTGGGCGTATTTAAGAATAAATGTCATTGCTGTCAATGGCATCCCCATTAGTCGGATTTGTGCTTGATTTCAAAAGTACAGCTCTAAAAAATGGTGTGTTTATGGATCACAAGTGTCACAGAGGTGAGCCTGGGGGTCGCTTGTTACAAATTTGGATTGGAAGAATTCACTTTTAGCTCAATCGGTGGAGCATTGGGCAATACACTCCCAAATTTACCACAATGCATTTATATGACCACGAACACCTCTTAAGCTATATAAACAACACATTTAAATAATTGTCCTGTCATTTTAACGCGTTGACCTTGAAGGTGTTGAACATGTCACAGGGTAATTGTTAATCAGATGAATGGACATGTATCATGTCGTAACCTCGACGAATGATAGCGTGGAAATCCCACGTTTGCCGCTGGTACTAACTAGCTTTGTCTTCTGGGGACCATTATCTCTCCAGTATCTGCTCCTGGAATACATCTGATACCTATCAGTGTGATTTGATTATATATGATATAGAAATATGGTTCTGGTAATTCAATAAGGTTGGGGGTCATGGGGAGTAAAACGCCATTTGTGAGGATCACGGTAATGTTATATATAAATCAACAGCGTTTGTGATAACATATTTTCTTTCTTCTGCGATAGGTGGTTTATGCATTGGTTTCACTATCGGGATATTTTTTTAAAATGACCCCTGTATTTGCTTGTCTATGTCTCTGTTTCCTTGCTCCGTGCTAGATCTACCCAAAAATGAGAAAGGTCTAATAGAATGTTCATTCATATGGAAGTGTTAAATATTGACAGTCTACCAATTGTCAATGGCGTTTTCTTCAAATAATCACGATATTTACATATCTCAATTTTTAACTTTGACTGTTGTTACTTTTTTAAAATAATATACCGTTTTAATTCTTTAGACATACTGCAATCAACAATTTTTCTGGTAGTTTACCATGATAATTTATCTCAGACAAATTTGAATGTAATGGTTACAGTGAGCCATGCCGACCACCTGCTATGAGACAAACAACAACTTTGGGGTCACGCTAACGTTTACCGTCTACTGTCATGATGATGAGGTGCGCTGTGGAACAGAATGAAACAGGGGATGCTGTGAAAAAGACGACGAAGACAGGAACTCGTACTACTCAAATCAAACATATATATATCGGGATTGAACGGCGTTTTTTTAAAATGTTCATGCCGGTACGAACGCAAATCGGTTACATCCATATTGCATGAAGCCCGCTAGCGAGTCTCATGCCAACTGAGAAAGGACACAGTGGCGATCGAATATTTACGTAAAAATTATGTGTATGTCTACATGTAATTAACCAACTTCGCTGTGTAAACATTTAAAATTGTATTCAACTTTTATTTATTTCTCTTCCATTTTTGTTTTGTGTGTTAGTGTTGATATTGACTCCCGATACAATCCTTCTATCTTGATTATATGGTACATGTACAATTTTGTCAATTTTAACCTCTGAAATATTCCTTGTGTTAATGCTATAGAATATTTTCGTGTAGATATTCACATTTGTGTTTGTTTAGGTATGCCAAGTTTTCTCACAACGAGTGAGCTGACAACACAAAATGGCCAGGAGGATGCAGTACTCCCTTATTCACTATATACCAGGTTACGTCCCACCCGCCTTCAACTAAATCGCTCCAGACAACATACAAGGTTACGTCCCACTCGCCTACAACTACATGGCTCCACTCGAAGTCATAAGATAAACACCAAAGAGCAAATTAAATATGTCTTGTTTTAGGAGGTATGGTAGTCTAGTGGTCTCGTTACTGAAGGGTTGCGAGTTCGAGTCACGTCACGGCACTGTGTTGTATCCTTTAGCAAGATACTTTACTCCGCTTGTTCCAGTCTACTCAGCTGTAAATAAGTACGTGGTGGGGCAGTGCTAGAATTGTTGAATGTTAGCGGTAAGCTGTGAGCGCCGACATGGTGGCACAGGCTGTTTTCTCCTCATGGAGTTGAGAAAGATATTGACTGGTTGCAAAGACCCTATAACCACGGATAATAATTTGTGAACCGCTTTGAGACGACCTTCGAACTAGGTTGTGATAAAGAGGAATATAAGAACCTCGAATTATTATTATTAGTATTATTAAACTTTTGTCATATTCATATGATATTGTATTATGCAAATTAATACATTAATATGCTTCCATATCTGATTACATTGTATATTGCTGATCAGTGATAGCGTCATTTTTGTTGTTAAAATGACTTTAATTCAATTCAATTTTGTAAATAAGTGAATAACCATGTTGCTTCTCCTTAAGAGTAATTGTGATAATGACAACGTTGCTTTCCTTTCAGTGCGATTGTTTGTGTTGCCTTGTTGCTTCCCCTTCAGCATAACATAATTGTGTGTTAATGCTCCTTCAGTGTAAATGAGTGAATAGCCATGTGGAATTCCTTTCAATGTAAATATACACCTGTTGAATCCCTTCCAGTGTGATTATGTGTTTTATTAAGGTGTTTCCATTATATGTATGGTCATGTCGCTCCACTTTTGTGTGTTCAGTGAGGTTAAATGTAATTGATGTGCCTTTTTATATCCACATTATTTATAAGGAAGATAATAATTACACTGCACCTGTGATACCATCTACATTCCATGCTTGCAATTTAACTAATGATTTTAAGACTAAACATTCCAGTTTATGAAACCATTAATTTGATATGAAATATTCATGTTTGATATGTCGACACTTAGTTTGACTAACTATTTGCCTTTTGGCGATATATTTGCCTATATATTAGCTTAAGTCACTTGTTATGTATAACACAGTACAGCTGCACTTTGAGAAACGCGTACTTTTAAATCCTGATAGTAGCATGTATGTGTTTTATTTAAGAAATCATTTAACAAAGCTATATTCATGTCGAGAAAAAATGTCCAATACACCTTAACAATTTTAGCACTAATACATGGATCCTTAACTGATAACGGAGAAGCTTTCAACGATGGGTTGCTGATAGCATTTTATGTATAATGTCTCATGTTCTAATTCCTGATATTAATCTTAAGAGTTTAAAGAAGAGCATTTGTATCCTATACAAGGATCAATTTATAAAATGTTGAATAAAAAGTCTCAGACGAAATATGACTTACAGATAATTATGCTTTTTAGTTTATATCATATTGCACTTTGACTAAAACGTGTAAGTAACGTATTGCCATTACTCTATTTTAAAATCTGCTGCAGAAAATATATGGAGAATTCTGTCGTATCCCACTTGTAAAGATTTCAACCCTTCGCCACATGACGAAAAATAAGAGTCAAAACATCAAAACATTTTATACAAAAATATTTTATTTTTCAAAATTATTTGTACAAATTCCACAACAACAATGAGATCACAAATCTCACAAGTAAGGTATCACACAACATATGTAACAGTAAACAGGTGAGGTAAGCTTTGGATTTGTTTAGGGGTTCTGGATGGTGTTAACTGATGCACACACTTTGTTGTATTTCAGCTTCTTTCGATCACTGAATTACATAACTCTTCGTGCTATTTCATATTCCGCCATCCAGATATGTGTATAATCACAGCTTTCAATATTCTGTAAAATAAAATAGAAAACAATAGAATTCAGGGTCAATGCTATTTATGTGTATAATCATACCATGAGAACAATTCATGACCTAGAAATATTAAGTAATATTAATCATGAACGTTTCATGAAAATATCAGCAAGCAAGGAAAACAGTTAACAGATAAGTCTCCAGGAACGTTAATTAATATTATGCATGGTCGAAGTTATATGCACATGTCAAAAAATGAGAAAGAACTGATTTTATGTTTAGTAAGAATTTGATACATTTACTTGTGACAACAGTTACATGAATCCATCATCTTAGACTCTCAGGATGATTTGAAATTATGCTCATGATTAAAATTTAAAATTATATATGACAATGAAGTCAGTCCATGCAGTACTTACGTCTAACAGTGGGGTATGTAGGGTATTCGGGATATCTCCGTGGGAATTGGTGATAACGTGGGTACAGTCCTGGGTAACGGACACTACTGTCGTATCCTACAGAAAATAAAGAAAATAAAAACCAATGATACCTGTAAGTTTCCTCTTCTATCAAATAATACACTCTTACACTGACTCATTTGTACAAAATAAGCCTACTGCTTTAAACCATCGTTTTTGTAATGATATTGTAGTATACATCAACTAAACAGAAATCCATATATTATAAAACACTTACTGTTAGATCTGTAAGTACCTGTTGACCTCTTGTAACCTACAACAACAAAGTGGTACACATGTAGACAAAGTAATTAGCCAATCGAAACACGCGTAACAATCAACACATTTAAATGAAAATATTGCCATCCAGATTCGTAAATGTTTAGTTACGCTTATGAGCTAAAATCTACGCGAAAAATTAAATAATTTTGCATGATATTTGAACAAATATATATAACTAGGTTATTTCAATTATTTTGTAATCAAACATCAATACAGTAACTGGCCCTTCGTTTTTATCAACTAGGAGGATAGGTTCATTTGTTGTTCATAATAGAAGTCTCGTCTCCAAGTTAGACTGGCAAAGTATATATCTGAAATTTCAATATCAATTAACTAGAACTTATCTTTTAGCCTCCAAATTACACTAAGGTGACATGAATATAAAACTTCCATATCATATAAGGTAGCTTTATATCATTAAAAACTACAGTATCTCCATATCGAGAGGTTAAACAAATTTGACATAAACACGAACTTATGTGTAAACAATTTAAAATGAACTTACGTCTTCCTGTTGTTTGGTATTTAACATGTACTTGTTGATGTTGTGTTGGATACAATACGGAGGCCTGGTGTCCCAACACTCCGGACAATCCTGATCTGACGAAGGAGTTCCCGATTTGTCCCACTCCGTGGTAACCATTCCTTACGTATCTAGAGTAAACATTTCCGACGAAGCTATTCCTGGATGATCCCCTGAACCCTGGGACCAACCCACTGCTCCCTACTGACCCCTGGGGGTACAGGTCCCAGTCGTCATCCTGTGTAGGGTAGGTGGGGCCGTAACTGGTGGCAAAGGTCACGCCGACACAAACCGTGACAATAACTGCTAGGGTTAGACCGTTCATTGTCCTGTAAAGGATTGCGATAAAATATATTTTATAATATATCGAATTTTTTTACGGAATGGCGATTAAAGGATTATGTATTCAAAACAATTGACATTTTTGTTATTCATATTTACAATCTTTGAAACTCACTTAGCACTGTATAGAACGAATTATTTCGATTGCACGATCATACTTTTTAATAGAGATCCATTTTTATCAATTTGCGTAAGGTACCGAGAAATACACGTAGTGATAATGCAAGTATTTAATTGGTATTTGAGAGATCACAGCACTCACAAAGTATATATACATAAAGAAGATATAATTGATTTTCGTTTGTTTTAATAACAAATACTCAAATCAAATTGGTCAACAATATATATCCATTGTTACAATTTAAAAAAAGAGACTATAAGAATAGAATTTATAATAACTAGGTCGGAACTACTTTTTCCCCTGTCGGCAACATTAAAGAATATGTGATGGAAAATGCCGATGATCTTTTTATCATTATATATTGATCCTATTTTACAACAGTTAAACAGCACATAAGGCATATGTTTTTATAAATAAAGAGAGTTGTACTCATAAAACAAAATTATTTAAAGCTTTGATTGAATTCTGTACGTGAAAAGCGAGAAAATATTACATACCTTGTTTACCTGCCGAACGTCGGATGGAAGACTTGAATGTCGGCTGGACTTGGAATGTGATAATGACACCAGAATCCACGACTTTATATACTTTTTTCTTATCAGGAAATAAGATGGTGACTAAGAGTTGAACTTCTCTCACACTGCGTTTTTAAATACTACAAAAAGAATTGAATAAGTTATTAATTGTTGGTATACAACTTTGTGTTACCTTATGACGTCATAGAATATAATTGAACTAAATATATACCTAGAAAACCATTCATAAATGTACCTGTCTAAGAGTTCATATTATAATTAGGCACGTACGTATGTGAATATTAATGATGTTTCGTTACACATGACAACACAGCTCACATCACAGCTAGTTATCAGATTGATGAATTGTGTGGTAATATGAAGCTTAGTCTTTACGAGAAAAAATGTCTCAACTGTAGAAAATCAATCACCGAACACACGCAAATGTTAGGATAGAATATAATTTTGTATTTTAAGTGTTGTATCCTATTTTTATTATTTTTATTATTTGCCTTCAAACATGTTTTCCTGTATAATTAACATAATACATTTCCTTATATGTATTACCCACTCCCAAATCGTATATTGTAGCAATGAAAATGGTACGAAAAATGCACCAGGAACCTAGGAGACAAAACAGTTAACAAATAAACAGGATCAATGCTTCGGAAGAATAGGCCTTTCCAGCTCTTCGTGATGGCCCGTTTGTCAGGCACCAATATTCTAAGACACCGAAAAATATTCAATCAGACTTATTAGATGATACTCTGGAAAAATATCATTTGAATCCGCATGTTTCTAGATGCATGCAAATAATATCCTTATTTTCTATTAATATCAGTTTTTTAGCATTTTGTGTAATGAATTACTGATATTCAACACGATTTATAGCATAGGTCTCACTGGTATATAAAACGATATAAACATGTCACTGTCCTACCCTGGTAAATAGGAAATGAATCATTGATGGACAATTTCTATTGAAAAATGATAATCTAGAAATGACAAAATAGTCCCTATCCATCATCAGTGCATATTCATATCACATGTTTTGCCCTCAATATCTGCAGCGTAAAATGACAAAAGGAGGCTTATTTGGCATGTTATAAATCGATAAAGTCTGAAAAACTTGATTTTGT